ATTGTTGATAGGTATGTTCTCTTCTACCAATTTTTATTTCCATTTTTGATGAAAACCCCTTGCAGATATCCAAACCTCAACGCCAGTGTCTGGAACGTCAACGCAATGTTTGTAGATCAAATGCTCAGCCTGAAGTCGTTAACCTGGCAGGTTGGTCTTCATCTTATTTTATTCTTTTCATTTTTCTCTATTTCTTCTTTGAGCTTCGCAAGTGAATCCTATTTGCAGACCTGTATGTGGACGCTATTCTGTATGGCAATCGTTTGTACCATCTTTATCCAAAACCCGGTTTCTGTCGTGATGGCCACAACAGCTATCGCGTCCATAAGTCTTGGAGTTATGGGGTAAGTTCCATCCTTTCTTATCATTTTTTTCGCCCATTTCATCTCTTTTCTTTCCAGATATCTCTCATTCTGGCATCTTGACTTGGATCCAGTATCGCTTTGTGCTGTTCTGATCAGTATCGGCATGGCAGTGGACTTTGTCGCTCATACCACCTACCATTTCCAGGTAAGTCTTGAATTTTAATTTTTACCAACGATATCCGAGTATTTTCTGTGTAGTTGACATATCGCGAAGCGGTTCGAAATGGACATGAGGTGCGAGTGGATCTGAACACACCATATGATCGAATGCGTAATACCATCAGCAATGTTGCTTGGCCCATGTCTCAAGCAGGAATTTCCACAGTCATCTGTATTCTTCCCATTGTGGTGCTCCAGGTGCGTCAAAAGTCCATCATCAGCATTGCACCTCGTTCATAGTTCACGCGATTTCATCGCCTTGCGATTCTCCCGACAGGACAACTTTCACAATTCCACTGCGTGCCGATCTTACATTTTCGTAGTGTAGTTCGTCACGATCAGTCGCGTCGGAAAACTATCACAACCGAGGTGCAGGAGGATCGGCATGCGATTGTTGCGTAGCAGTTGTCTTGTTGTTTGAATCGCGAGGCGATGAAATCGCTTGAACTATGCCTGAGGCCTTATCGTTTCACTATATTTGTCCTTTCAGAACTATATTCCATTGGTGTTCGTGAAAACCATCACACTCGTCGTTATCTGGGGTTTATGGCATGGTCTGGTACTTCTTCCAGCATTCCTTTCTCAGGTATGCGACAGCATTCTTGTTTTTCCTTCTTCTCTATTCTTATCTGTCATTCGATGTTTTTTCAACTCTAAACTTTTGCCCCTTCAGATTCCATTGCCTCTTCTCAATTTCAACTGCTATCGAACGCTGGTCAGCGCTCGAGCAGACGGTAGCGGCCAGGAGATGTCACTTTTGGAACCGGACACTACCCGAGCATAGAGAATTTTCCCAACCCCCTTTAGGATTTGCGTATTGATTGTTTTTCATTTTGTACAAAGCGTTGTTGTTTGTCCTTGTGCGACTTACATCGTAAAAGTCGCAACTTCTCACTATTACCATTGCATTATCATCTTGAATCAGATGATATCGATGCCGAGTCCCCTTATTCGCCATCCATCTAGCTAAGCCTCGAATCTAACTCACATTTCTCTTCTTTGTTATGTATGGCCTTTTTATGTCAGGGATCTGATGGGCACATGACCCGCTACTTACAATATTCGGATACAGAGTATTTTCCTAAGATTCAGTTTCATTGTTGTTTCATGTTGCACTCTTGCCTCACTGATTGTTTCTTTATACAGACGCTCGAAAGTGTTTGCTTTGCTCATCGCTACTGTGCATAATCCACAAAAAAAACTCAAAAAAACATATATACTCTCCTGATCTCTGCTAACCTCGTTTTTCTCTTAATTTTGTAGATCATGCCAGTAATTCGACCCATAAGGTCTTTCTAATATCTGCTCCAAGACGAAGGCGGTCGCCCAAATAGGTTGAAAGCA